AGGTAGCGGCGGGTGGCACCGCGCTCCTTGAGGTTCTCCATGATGCCATTGTTGTGGTAGGTGACCTTGTTGTCCGACTTAGCGGACACGAAGGTCAAAACTTCATCATTGCCGCACACGGTGGGGATGATGAGGTAGAGGATGGCGAACAAGAGGCGGGCGGAGGAGCAAAAAATGGTAGATCGGAGCTGTGCTCCGCCACCAACTTTGAAGACGAATGATTGCGATGGCGATGCTGTTACGTAGTGCGAGCACGAGTGTTAACACGAGACGAATGTGGGCACGACAGGCTGCAACCTGCCGCGCCTGGAGCCAAGCGGCAGCGGGAAAAGGGAGAAGATTGAACAGGGCAAAAGAGGCAGGAACAATTGGTAGGCGACCGTCCGGGTCGGCACGCGCGGCGGGGCACGAACGGCCAGGCATGCGCCGCAGGGCGCGTGGCACAGCGCCCGACGCGGCGGCACGAATCGCACGGCAGTGCCAGCAAGCCAGCCCCAAAACACTCGGTCGCGAAACGCTCGACTGTTTGAGCAGGTCAGTCTCTCGCCACGGTGGACCACAAGGGATCCAGGACACCCAAGATGGTCTTGAGACGGCCCGAAAGGCTCCCAAACCATCCCTCAAGAGGGCCCCAGGACGCCAACATGACTGATCGTTTTGGTGTTTTGATGGATTTTCGCGTTCACGCTTTTTCGGTCTTCCGATGCCCCAAGACGGCCCCGCCAGTCGCCAAAATCACTCCAAAACGGACCAAGAGGCCCTCAAGAAGCCGGCAAGACGGCTCAAGAGGGCCTCAAGACGACCCAAGAGGGACTTAGGAAGGCCCCAAGAGGCCCCCAAACGGGGTCCAAGAGGGGGGAACTCGAACTGACATTTCCAGCCCTGCGCCCCAAATTGACCCCCGAGGCCGCGAGCAGGCCCTCACGAGGCCCCCAAGAAGCCCCAGGCGCCCCCCAGAAGGCCCAAAAGAAGCCGAAGAGGCCCACAGGAGGCCTGACAGGGGCGCCCCGAAGCACCCCAAAACCGCCTCCACGAGGCTTCCGAGAGGCCACCTGAGAGATCCGCACAGGCATCCAAGAGGCCCCTGACCTACAATGGAACGCACAGTGGCACACTAATCCTACATGTCCTCCTTGGGGCGCGCGTCCGACCCGAACATAACCCCATGCTCACGATAATAAACACTAGGGGATGATAAAGTTCGGGGTTCAGGGGGAGATAATCAAAGTAGCCCACCAGACCTCAGCATAATCTCGAAGTAAGAGATGATCCAGAGGAGACCAAACCGAGCCCGTTTTGAGACATCCTTGGCGTTTAGTCTTCATTAAAATATCCTCAACAATGGCTTATCTCGCTGGAGACATCCTCGACAAATCCCTTGTTTCGCTTGAGACATCCACAAACTATTGCTTATTTCGCTTGAGACACCGTCAAACTATTGCTTATTTCGCTTGAGACATCCTCGAAATAATTGTGTTTTTCGCTTGAAACATCATCAAACTATTGCTGATTTCGCCTGAACATCCTGAAACTATTGCGTATTTCGCTTGAGACATCCTGAAACTATTGCTTATTTCGCTTGAGACACCGTCAAACTATTGCTTATTTCGCTTGAGACATCCTCGAAATAATTGTGTTTTTTATTCTCGAAGGTCTCATTGTCTGGTTCTGCTCTCTGAGCAGCCATCTGCTTGAGCAGCTCTGCTTCAGCAGCTCACCTTGAGCAGAGAGAGATAGTGAGAGAAAGAGGAGAGAGGGAGGGAGAGAGAGAGAGAGAGAGAGGTGAGACTCTCTCTCTCTCTCTCCCGCCGTGCGCTCCTCTGAGGTTTATTATCGTCGGCAGTTTTTTATCATCGGCTGAGGTTTATTATCGTCGGCAGTTTTTTATCATCGGCAGTGGTCAATCGCAACTCCTGAGCTCTCCCGGAAGACGGCGGCACGCAAATGATACGCATTTTTTGAAAAACTTCATTTTGAAAAAAAAAAAACTTTTTTAATTGCGAATTCCATTGTAATCCTTTCAAAATTGCGAAATCGAGCCGTCAGGCGCTTGAATGCCACATTGCGTTCGAGATTTAAGCACGCGACGCATTTATGAGAAATTTGCGTCGCACGCGCTTTTGCCCGAATATCGAACGCAGTGTGGCATTCAGGCGCGTGCGGGTTCGAATTCGCAATTTCGAAAGGATTTCAATGGAATTCGCGACCAAATATAATATTTTTTGTCAAAATAAGGTTTTTCAAAAAAAATGCGTGTCATGAGAAAATTGCGTCGCACACGCTTTCGCCTAAATCTCGAACGCATAGCGGCATTCAAGCGCCTGACGGCTCGATTTCGCAAATTCGAAAAGATTCCAATGGAATTCGCAATTAAATAAAATATTTGTTTTTCAAAATGAAGTTTTTCAAAAACATGCGTATCATTTGCGTGCCGCCGTGTTCCCGGAGAGCTCTGGAGTTGCTCCCGACCATTGCCGGTGATAAAAGACTGCCGACGATAATAAACCTCAAGAGGTTGTGCTGAGGGGTTGTGCTGCAGGGTTGTGCTGGAGGGTTGTGCTGGAGGGTTGTGCTGGAGGGTTGTGCTGGAGGGTTGCGCTGGAGGGTTGTGCTGGAGGGTTGTGCTGGAGGGTTGTGCTGGAGGGTTGTGCTGGGGGGGTTGTGCTGAGAGAGAGAGAGAAGGAAAAAAAATAGATAAAAAGAAATATAATTTCTTTTCTCTTAAACAAATAAGAAATATATAACTCAATTCGCAGAGAGTTTTTTCTTTTTTTATAAGAAAAAAAAGAGACAGATAGAGGAGGAGGAGGGAAAGCAATAATTTCAAGTTTCAAATCCATCAGATTTTATTTAGAAACGCTTTATGAAAATTGCGAAAGAGAGAGAGAGAGAGAGAGAAGAAGAAGAGGAGATAAGGAAAAGCAAGAGAGGAAGGAGAGGATGAGAGGAAAGGAGAAGACAGGAGAGAAGCAAGAGGAGAGAGAGATAGAGGAACAGAGAGAGAAAAAAGACAGAGAGAGGAAAACATAAAAAATAAAAAAACATATTGTCCATGGATAATCAAATCCCAGGGATAAACAAGTTCAGGGGGGCATGGGGGGGAGAGAGACAGAGAGATAGAAAAAAGAGAGAGAGAAGAAATAATGAAAATGACGAGGAGAAGAAAAATGCAAGAGGAGAAGTAGAAGAGGAGAGGAAGAGGAAAAGCAAAAAAATCAAGTTCCAAATCTGTTATATTTTATTTACAAACGCTTTATGATTTGTTTGTTTAAGTGCTCGTGTAGGAGCTCATGTGCTTCACTTTCCGTGGATAATCATACCCAGGGATACACAAGTTCAGGGGCGCATGGGGAGAGAGAAAGATATACAGAGAGAAATAAAGAAAACAAAGAGAGAGTTGAGGGAAATACATAAAAGAAATATTAAAAAGGAAAAGGACAAGAAGAAATGAGGAGGAGAAGTAGAAGAGGAGAGGAAAGGAGGATAAAACAAAAAAACTGAAGATTCAAATGTATTATTTTTTATTTACTAGCGCTTTATGAAAATTGAATGTTTTAAGTGCCCGTGTAGGGTAGCTCATGTGCCTCACTTTCCGTGGATAATCAACCCCAGGGATAAACAAGTTCAGGGGGGCATGGGGAGAGAGAGGAACAAAAGAAAGAAATAAAGAAATATATAAAGAAATGAAAATATAAATTAAGAAAAAAGAAGGAGAAGAGAAGAGGAAGAAAAAGAGCAAAAAAATCAAGTTACAAATCTATTAGATTTAATTTACAAACGCTTTCTGAAAATTGATTTTTTTGAGTGCTCGTGTAGGGGATAATCAACACCAGGGATAAACAAGTTCAGGGGGGCATGGGGAGAGAGAGGAAAAAAAGAAAGAAATCAAGAAATACATAAATATATATATATATAAAATATAAATTAAGAAAAAAGAAGGAGAAGAGAAGAGGAAGAAAAAGAGCAATCCTCTAGTATATGCTTGTTTCGCTTGAGACATCCTCGACAAGCTTCTCGAATCGCTTGAGACATCCTCGCAGAATTGCTGGTTCCGCTTGAGACATCCTTGAAACATTGCTCGTTTCGTTTGAGCCTGCCTCCCAAAATTCTTGGTTTCGCTTGAGACATCCTCACAGAATTGTTGTTTTCGCTTGAGACATCCTTAAGAAACGTATCGTTTCGCTTGAGACATCCTTCAGTATATGCTTGTTTCGCTTGAGACATCCTCGAGTATATGCTTGTTTCGCTTGAGACATCCTCGACAAGCTTCTCGAATCGCTCGAGACATCCTCGAGTATATGCTTGTTTCGCTTGAGACATCCTCGACAAGCTTCTCGAATCGCTTGAGACATCCTCACAGAATTACTGGTTTCGCTTGAGACATCCTTGAAACATTGCTCGTTTCGTTTGAGCCTGCCTCCCAAAATTCTTGGTTTCGCTTGAGACATCCTGAAAAAAGTGTGATCGCTTCGCTTGATGTTGCTATTTCAACATAACTTGATCTTGCTATCTCAACATAACGTTCCGAGGTGATAATGAAGTTTGGCCTCCGCGCCCCGCGCCCCCGACCAAACTCTTATTGGTCGACGATAAAAAAACTCTAACGACTTAAGAGGGGGGGGGGGTACATTATTATCGTGGGCATGGGGTTATAGTATACCCATCTTGTAGTAGATCGTTTCCCGAGCGGTGCGGCCAGAAAGCGCCCGCCACGACGCATATACTACAAGATTTCTCGGTGCGCGCGTCGCCCCTGGGGGGGGGGGGGCGACGCACACATGAAATAAGTGTGCTGGGATGGCGCCGGTACAACCCAAGCACGGTGGCGGGATGGGCCGAGAGCCACCAGACACAACGGTCAGAAGGCCTGCACGTCCAGGGAGACGTGCACCGGCTGGCGGGTTGGCAGATACCGGGTGCAGGAGTCGCGTTTCGCTGGTAACACAAAACCACCTACGCTTCACAACGACCAAACATCTACAGTCTAAAACACGATAATAAGCTGGTACACGAAACAGCGGCATCGTCCGCCGACACCTAAGACCCATCAGCACCGTCGACAGCCCGAGGCTGGGAAGGAGGCGGTGAGGTAGTAACTTCGCAGACGGACCCAAGCCACCAAGCAAACCCATTTAGGTCCACCGCGCAACGAGCATTCAGCGACGAAGATGCCTTCGAGCAATCCGCCTCCCTATGCAAGCAACGACCTCCATCCCTGCAGCGCTGCGCTGCGCCTCTGGGAAGTTGGCATAACCACACTGGAGGATGCACCCGCCTGGGTTCCGCCCAAGGTCCTGGCGCGGGGAAGGGCGAGGAGGGATGGTGGGGGGCGCGAAAGCACAAGGGCAAGAAGGAAAATAGAAGCAGAGCGGGAAACTGACAAGAGCAGGCGAAAGGAGGTCGGAGCACTGTAAAGATGGTGACGATGATGATGAGTATGATGATGATGATGATGATGATGATGATGATCATCATCATGATGATGATGGTGATGATGGTGATGATGGTGATGAAGGTGATGGTGATGGTGATGGTGATGATGATGAAGATAAAGATGAAGACGAAGACGAAAACGAACACGAAGACGAAGACGAAGACGAAGACGAAGACGAAGACGAAGACGAAGACGAAGACGAAGACGAAGACGAAGACGAAGACGAAGACGAAGATGAAGATGAAGATGAAGATGAAGATGAAGATGAAGATGGAGATGGAGATGGAGATGGAGATGGAGATGAAGATGAATATGAAGATGAAGATGAAGATGGAGGTGAAGATGAAGATGAAGATGAAGATGAAGATGAAGATGAAGATGAAGATGAAGATGAAGATGAAGATGAAGATGAAGATGAAGATGAAGATGAAGATGAAGATGAAGATGAAGATGAAGATGAAGATGAATGAAGATGAAGATGAAGATGAAGATGAAGATGAAGATGAAGATGAAGATGAAGATGAAGATGAAGATGAAGATGAAGATGAAGATGAAGATGAAGATGAAGATGAAGATGAAGATGAAGATGAAGATGAAGATGAAGATGAAGATGAAGATGAAGATGAAGATGAAGATGAAGATGAAGATGAAGATGAAGATGAAGATGAAGATGAAGATGAAGATGAAGATGAAGATGAAGATGATGAAGATGAAGATGAAGATGAAGATGAAGATGAAGATGAAGATGAAGATGAAGATGAAGATGAAGATGAAGATGAGATGAGATGGAGATGAGATGGAGATGGAGATGGAGAAGATGATGGAGATGAGAGATGAAGATGAAGATGAAGATGAAGATGAAGATGAAGATGAAGATGAAGATGAAGATGAAGATGAAGATGAAGATGAAGATGAAGATGAAGATGAAGATGAAGATGAAGATGAAGATGAAGATGAAGATGAAGATGAAGATGAAGATGAAGATGAAGATGAAGATGAAGATGAAGATGAAGATGAAGATGAAGATGAAGATGAAGATGAAGATGAAGATGAAGATGAAGATGAAGATAAAGATGAAGATGAAGATGAAGATGAAGCTGAAGATGAAGATGAAGATGGAGATGATGATGAAGATGATGATGATGGTGATGATGACGGTGACGACGACGATGACGATGACGATGATGATGGTGATGGTGATGATGATGATCATCATCAGAGTGATGATGCTGATGATGACGATGATGATGACGATGATGATGATGGTCGTGATGATGATGATGATGATGATGGTATGATGTTGATGCTGATCATGACACTGATGACGAGTTGATGATGACGAGGGTGGTGATGATGAAGATGCTGAAATGAAAATGATGGCGGTGATGGTGATGGTGACGATGGTGGTGATGGTGATGTGATGGTGATGGTGATGGTGGTAGTGATGGTGATGACGACGGTGATGGTAACGATGATTGTGATCTGGTGATGATGACAACGACAATGATGATGATGGTGATGATGGTGGTGACAACGATGATGCTGATTATGATGATGATGATGATGATGGTGATGATGATGATTGTATGATGGTGATGCTGATCATGACGCCGATGATGATGATGATGATGATGATGATGATGATGATGATGATGATGATGATGATGATGCGCCGACTGGTTAGCCTCTGGTGGCGAAAAAATGAAATGAGCAGCTCAAGGAATACGTCAGTGCAAAAGTAAGGGCGTGTGCAAAGAACCAACGCAAGCCAAAAAGATGACACTGACAAACGTCCACAAGATCAAGGCACACATAGAAGCCGAAATAAAAGTGCAGGTAAAGCAGAAAGACAGGCGTGTCAACCGCATGTAAAAGACTGCACCTCATTCTCCACAGCGATTGCATCCTTTGAGAAGTTAGTCACTGAAACCGTCGCGCGCGCGCGCTTCGATTGCTCTCAGCTTCTAATCGCCATGGGGCGAAGGCTATAGCGCGTCAGAGGGACCGTGTCCAGATGCTCGGGTCCTCGGCTTGGAGTCCCACGCGTCGGTGACTGAAGTCGCAGTGAGGCGTAGTATTCGCGGCAGTCCCGTGCCACCCTCGGGCAGTATTGCAGCTCTCTTCGGGACCACGTTAGGCCTGCGAGGCCACCTTGGAACCGCACGATCGCAACAAATGGGAACGAACAGAACATGTCGGGACTCTTTTGGTTCGGTCTGATTTGGCCCTCTTGGAAGCCCTGTGCGGCACTCTGGCGGCCTCTTGGGGCCTCATGGTGCTGCTGGCGACTTCCTGGGGCACCCTGGTGGCGTCCTGGGACCGTCGTGGGGCCCTCTTGGAACAACTTCGGCACACCCCTCGGGGTCTCCCGGGGAAGCTCGGAAAGAGGAGGAGGTGGAGGAGGAGGAGGAAAGGGAGGAGGAGGAGGAGGTTGAGGGGGGGAGGGAGTGGGGAGGACGAAGAAGGGGAGGAGGAGGGAGTGAGGAGGACGAGGAAGAAGCAGGAAGGAGGGAGGAGGAAAAGGAGGAGGGAGAAAAGAAGAACGAGGGAGAAAGAACGAAACGGGAGGAGAGAGACGGAAGAGCACGGATGGAGCAAGAAACGAAGGACAGCCAGGAATGAAAAGAGAGAAAGGTGGGAGGGGAAAGGGAGGAGGACGAAGGGGAGGAGGAAGGGGGATGGGGGAGGGAGTTGCGGAGTTACGGATATTGCGACGATGCTGGCTGTTAACAAGTTATCGAGCCTCGCGTTTGGCCTTCTCGGCTGTGTTGTAAGCCTTTATGCCAGCACCCCCTTCGGATACAACTAAAGTAATACTTGCGATTACCTGTGGCTCCATGTGGCGGACATGCTTCGCCGAGCTTGGCCAACTCTTGGGCCATAGCGTTTCCACATGCCGCTCAAAACCAAGCCCCCAGCCAAGCGTGAAACCTCAAACGATGGCTTAGGTACGCCAACCCCCACGCATGTGCACCCGACGTCCAGGGGGAAGCTCAAACAAATCACCATCGATTGTCCTCATGTCGGAACATGTGGTGTCCAACCATTTACGCCTCTGGTCAGAAGTAGTGGAGCTCCCACAATGCGTGCGCTAACGACCGCTTTCGGACAAGGTACACGCCGGTCGGAAGAATTAGGTAAAAACATGAAGTAGGAAGGCGGATAAAGTAGATTGGCTCCAGACCCTCCCAGAGAATAAAACACACACACACATATCAAGACCATGCCGACTCTTGAAGTAGGAAGGCGCTAGAAGTAGATTGGGGTCTGGGAATCCAAAAATACCTGCTTTCAACGACCGGCGTGCATGCTTGGTGGCAAAAGCTTTACAAGACAAGGGCGCACGAGGCCTGGGCCCGCGGGTGCCTGACACGGGTTCCTCGGGGCCCCTCGGCTGAAAGGCTATGCTCAGCCTTCAGGGTCCCAAAGGTGTTACGGCGAATCCGCGCCCTGGCGGCATCATCAATTTTCCCATGATGGTAAAGCGTACCTCGAGCATGCCCTGGGAGACGGACTGGGGTTGCTGCTAGTCATGCCTCGTGATCCGCTCCTGCGCTCCTTGCGACCAGCAAAAGAGGAGAACGACCGTGCAGGACGTTCAAAAGAACCTCCTGGTGAGAGCGCACAGACGAAGCTGCACAATTTAACGAAGGCCTACGACGCAAGAGTTGACCTATTTGATGTCAAATCTACGCGTGCTCTTTCTCTCTGGGAGAAATTCTGCCGATATATCAACCCGAGACGCATTGGCGTCGTCCGCGATATGTGCCCCAGCTCCGTCCGAACCGATCGGAATTGCGAGGAAAGCACAAAAACTCCCCTCTCACGACTGCGGGCTTGGAACCTCCAAGAACCCCCACACGGCGACATCCACCAGCATAATTAAACTGAGCTCGCGAGTTTAGGCGAATCCCACACCTACTCGTCGCGCTCCCGAGTCGCTCGAGCCTTCGCCCCCGCAAGCGTCTACCAGGATCTCTGGAAAACTCGCCCCCCTCGCACCACTAGTCCGCTTCTGGCCGCGCGGGGGGGCAACCCCGGAGTCGGGGCACAAACCTCGCATCCAAGAACACGACTCAGCGTTTCATGGCGCGCGCATGCAACATACTCGTTAGACACTGGCGTATACACATATGTACATACATGTAGAATATATATATATATATATACAGATACACATGTGTATCGCGCGAGCTGTCGCGAGCTGCACAGGCCCAACATCAATGAAAAAAGTCTTCTCATCACGCCTACATGTAGCACTCTCACATATGAGAGAACCTGGATTCTTTCCAGCCGACCCGTCCGTGGCCAGGCCGCTCCTGCGGCTGCCCACAGGAGAAGCCCTGCAAGGCGTCGGCCGTCAGGCCCTGCCTCCAGTTGAAGCAGAGGCGCTCGATGCGACAAGTTGCTGACTCCGTTCTCCGTGCCTGCGCCGCCGCGGTGCCCAGCCACCTCGCGCCACGAGCGCCCCACGACAGCGCCCCAGCACTACTAAGGGAAAACGATTGGGAGATCCGCCTAGGCGAAGCCCGCCAGCATCCCCAGCTTGAACTCCCAATTGCACTGCAGACCTTACTCATCATCTGTAACTTGCCAGTCGGCCGGCCCTCTCGGGCTCAAACACTCTTGCAACAGGTACGACATCATAGCGGCTTCAGGTCCTTTGACTTCTGACTCGAAACTGCCAAACAATTCTCTTCCATGTAATCGCGATTCCTTTTCGCAAAGCCGCTTGCTTCGCCCACGTCTTGATCCAGAGATGGTGGCGCCCCCTGCGCACGCGATACGCAAGGCCCCTGGATGGCGCTCTCAAATCTAAGAGAGCGGCGACTCAACGACCCGTCAATCCAAGCCTGATGG